AGCACTCTGGTTGGTTGGTTTAAGCCATCCTCTGACAGGTAAATGAAGGGACTGACAGGTAAGCCTCTACATTTACCTGTCACAGCACTCTGATTGGTTGGCTTGAAATCCACCCAATCAGAGTGCTCTGTGTCATTTTACACAGCGTGGGAAAGTTCTTTGAATTTTCCCACGCTGTGTAATTTGACTGATAACTCTCTGATTGGTTACTTTCAATCCACCAATCAGAATGTTGTTATGAGTCACATTACACAGGAATGGTACAGCCCTTGAGAAGTCTTGAAGATGAGCATCAGAGGTGGGAGTACGGACGGAAGATAGATGTAAGTCTTCAGCAGAGCGTAAGGGCCTAGACAGGACATACTTGTGTATTAGGGAGGATAGATATGTGGGAGCAGCATTATGTAGAGATTTGAAAGCAAGAACCAAATTGAGCCCTATATTTTACAGGAACTGACAGAAAGGTGAGGCGTGGGAGGTGCGGACGGACAGAAAGATGAGCCTCGCTGCCGCATTCATTATGAACTGTAAAGGTGCAAGTTGGTAGCACATAAGACCACTGAGAAGCGGATTACAGTAGTCAAGACGAGAAAGGACAGTGGAATGGACCAGCACCTTAGTCGCATCTGATGTTAAGTAGGGTCGGATGCACGCAATGTTTTTGAGATGGAAGCTACAGGATTTGGCAATAGACTGAACATGAGGCGTGAAGGAGAGGTCGGAGTCAAAGAGAACACCTAGGCAGTGAGCCTGCGCGGTTGAGCTGATGGTATCACCATTGACTTGGAGGGAGGGAGACACAGGAGAAGCAACACTTGAGGGAGGAAAGACCAGAATTTCAGTTTTGGTCAAGCTGAGTTTAAGGAAGTGGGCAGCCGTCCAGTTAGAAATAGCAGAGAGGCAGTCAGAGACACTAGTCAAGAGGGACGGGGAGCGATCAAGAGAGGACAGGTGGATTTGCGTGTCATCCACATATAAATGATATTGGAAGCCAAAGGAGCATAGTTGGATTGGGAGTTAGAGTCAAGGTTGGGCTTCTTTAGAATTGCGGTTATAGTTGCATGTTTGAAGGGCAATGGAAATATTCCAGAGGAGAGAGAGAGTTTATAGCCTTAGATCTCGGCATATTCATTTAAAGCTGTTAGTAGCGATGGCAAAGACCTAATGGGGTCAGTAGTAGGTTGTCTGCATGTGCTGCGGTCTTGAATTCTTCTGAACGTATTGTGATTCCTTTAATTTCCCCCTTATGCCTGAGTGTTTGTAGAAGGGGTTCTAGTGAGAGAGTGAAAAGGATGGGGGAATGCAGGCAACCCTGTCTTGTACTGTTGTGGATCTCATTAGAGGAGGGGTGTGTAAGAAGAAGTAGGAGGTTTGCCGTGGGGGGAGGTCGTATGTGCGTCAAATGTTGTTGCATGCTTGTCTGGAGGGTATGAATCCCACCTGGTCAGGGTTGATTAATTTGTGGAGAAAGGGGTTCAAGTATTCCGCCAGTAACTTAGTGAATAATTTGATGTCTACATTCAAGAGCTATATGGGGCGGAAGTGTCCTCGGTCCAGGTGGGATTTATTCGGTTTTGGGAGGAGGCAAATGTTGGCCCTGAGCATCTCCTGCGGTAATGGTTTCCCCTGTATAATTGTATTGAATAGATTGCACAGATGTTTTGTACAGTCATGTGAAGATGTCTGGGCCGGGTTTTTGTTCAGCTTGAGTGTTTTGAGTGTCTTTGCTACTTCTTCTGGTATTATCTGGGCTGCGATCATGTCTGCTGCTGTCTGGGAGAGGGTGGGTAATGGTATCGAATTTAAATAGTTTGTGGTTAAGTTCTTAGCGCTTCAGGTTCTAAGCGTGGATGTGATTATACAGTGAGGAGAAATCATTTTGAAAAACTTAAGCTATTTGATCAGGGAGTTCTTTTAATCGTCCATCTGGAGTGGCGATTTTGTCAATGTGTTTATGTGCGATTCGTTGTCATAATCTGTGACAATGTCAACATCAGCTTTTCATAAAACATTTGTTTTGTCCACTGAAGGGCTTTAGCGGAGTCTGTGGCCATGAATTATTTAAGGTCTGTTTGGCATTTAGTAATTTGCAGTTTAAGGGTCGGAGTTGGGTTGCGCTTGAACTGCTGTTCCAGGGTTCGTAGCTCTGTAAGTGTGTGTTCTAGGCTGGCGAGGTATTTTTTTTGTGTATGGATGCAAGGCTTATCATTGTCTGTGAGTACCGTTTTATTATTATTTTTTATTATTGTCTGTGTCTCTGAGTACCGGTTTGTGTGTTGCCCAGAGCATGCTTTTGGAGGTGATTGAGTCCTTATTTAAGGCAAAGTATTCGGTGATGGCTTTCTGCATAGATTCTCTAATTGATGGGTTTTGGAGATGTGTAGGGTTTAGGCGCCATGACCATGGTCTCACTGTGTTGGGCATGTTGATCTGGAGTATATTGTCCGCGTGGTCTGACACGTTGTTGATCTTTTATCCTATATTTAGTAAAAGTTAAGTTTTAAACCACTAGGATACCAAACAGAGATATGTACATTTAATTTCACTAATATATCCCAAAGTCACATTATATCCTCCTATCCTATTTTGTTCGTTCACATATAGGGTACCCTCCATGTTGGAGGATCTGTATATATTGGCTCATTTCTTCTCTCTTTTTCTTTTTTTTTGGTCATGTATTCTATTTGAATACACTGATCAACCATAAAATCAAATACCCATGATGACTCCTGTCTGAAAGTGGCATCAATAGGGACATGAGTGTCAGAACTAGAAATAGTAGAGGATGGGAGAAATATAGTAGGTCCCAAGACAACAGGATGTGGACCCAAGAGGTTGAAGTCCTGGTTAGAAATGTAAAAATTAACTTTCATTATAATATAAGTATAAAATATAGTGGAGTTTACAATATATACTTGTGTACATGTGTTGGGCATGTTGATCGGGAGTATATTGTCTGCGTGGTCTGACACGTTGTTGATCTTTTATCCTGTATTTAGTAAAAGTTAAGTTTTAAACCACTAGGATACCAAACAGAGATAGGTACATTTAATTTCACTAATATATCCCAAAGTCGCATTATATCCTCCTATCCTTTTTTTTCTTCACATATAGCGTACCCCCCATGTAGGAGGATCTGTATATATTGGCTCATTTCTTCTCTCTTTTTCTTTTTTTTGGGTCATTTATTCTATTTGAATACACTGATCAACCATAAAATCAAATACCCATGATGACTCCTGTCTGAAAGCGGCACCAACAGGGACATGAGTGTCAGAACTAGAATAGTAGAGGATGGGAGAAATATAGCAGGTCCCAAGACAACAGGATGTGGACCCAAGAGGTTGAGGTCCTGGTTAGAAATGTAAAAATTAACTTTCATTATGATATAAGTATAAAATATAGTGGAGTTTACAATATATACTTTCCTAACTAATTTGCCTCAGAAGATGCTGAAGCATAGAGAACGAATGGAGAAAGGATATCTCCTAAGGTGCTACCAAAAATAAATATGAAAGTGCTCACTAAACCAATAACAAAAAAAAAAGAAGAAAATTCTAAGAAAGTGTTAATAATCCCAAACCAAAATTGATAATAAAAATAGTATTTACAAAAAGTAAGGTGAAAAGGAGTAAAAGATACTCCAAAACAAAGTATATACAAAAGATTTTTCCAATCTCAGTTGCTTATCTGAACAGAGAGATGTTCAGTGGAAGGATCATATGCACTTAAATGTGTGTCAAATCCCTGTCTGGCAGGTTTACAGGTTTAAGAGTTAAATGATGCTCTCTCTTGAAAAGCCTGGAGCTTTTGGCAGTCTGCCTTTTTATTGAAAGAGGCTTACACTGGGCATTTGGTGATGATATCACTAGAAAAGCATGGAGCTTTTGGCAGTCTGCCTATTATAACAGAAGCTTACCCTAAGGGTTAAATGGTGCTATCACTTAAAAGGTACAAAGTGTCAGAACTAGGAACAATGAAGAAGGTCATCTGGTCTGATGAATTATGGTTTCATTGAGATCAGGCAGATAGCGGGGTGTGTGTGCATCATTTACCTGGGGTAGTAGAGATGGTAATAGGATCCACTATGGGAAGAAGGCAGGCTGGCAGAGGCACTGTAATTGTGGGCACTGTAAAATGGTCTGCTGGGAAACCTTGGCATCCATGTAGATGTTACTTTGAAATGTATTATCTACCTGGAGATTGTTGCAGGCCACATACACCCCTTCATGACAATGTTGTTTCCTGATAGCAATGGCCTTGTTCAGAAGGATAATGCACCCTGCCACACGGCATACATTGTTCAGGAATGGTTTCATGAACAGAAGAAAGAGTTAAAGGTGTTGCTTTGGCCTCCATATTACCCAGATCTCAATCATAGTGAGCATCTGTGGGATGTGCTGGAACAACAAATGCAACCCATGGAGACCCAGCCTCACAATTTGCAGGACTAAAGAATCTGATGCTAATGTCTTGGTGCCAGATACCACAGGAACATTCAGAGGTCTTGTGGAGTCCATGCCTCAATACATAAGAGCTATTTTGTCAGCGCGAGGGTGACATAAAAGATATTAGGCAGGTGGTTTTAATGTTGTGGCTGATCAGTGTATTCTCCAGTTTTATTCCCCAGCAATATGAAGACAGTTTGAAAGTAGGTCATTGCACACTAAAGACCACACGATACACATATCATAAATAGTAAGCAACTGTTATTCTCCTCTTTCCTACTCTTAGTCAATCAGGAGAGGTATGTAGATGCCCCTGGCAATTGTGTAGGGAGGCATTACTCACCTGCTGGTACTTGGTCTTTAATGTCATGTAAAATAGGTGAAGGATGAAAAAAATGTTGCTTTCAGATTTATTAACAAGCATTGAAAACCTGAAGTATATTTTATATGTGGTGTTATTCAAAAATCATATTTATATTTTTTTATCTTGCTATTGTTTATTGAAGAATAACAGAAAATTATTATACAAGATTTGTACAATGTATACCAGATGGCAGATTAAATAAACTGTTAATAAAGCAGTATATTGAGAAAGGTGACAACATATTAAATCAAAAAGTTGTTAACAGTACAGTAGCATTACTGTGAATAAAACAGTTAAGCAGATACAGGCATCAGATAGAAGAGAAATAAGAAGGATGAAAAATAATTAATGGTTTATTGCAAATGGACCCTAGCTATGTTTTTGCCTCTGAGAGGGAATTTTATAGATACGTTTTTAACCAAAGAATGAATTAGTAATTAATCAGGATCCAGTATATCCTCTCTCAGTCCATTGATGCCTTTTTTTAATGCATTATAAAGATACACAATTGATCTAACAAAGAGAGTTGCTTGATTGAATAGTTTATCATGAATATATCAGAATATGTAACATATAGTAAACATTCTTAGGTTTTTTTTTTCTATCATTGACTTTTGCATTCTCTGTTTATTTAACTGAGCCCCTAATACACTAAATTGAGTTCACTCTTTTGACAGCTATTGGCTTTATCTAATAATGTATAATGTAAGATCATGTATAATGTAAAATACTGGCTATAACTTAGCTGTTCTGGTTATTCTGTTCACTTTAATCTCATGTTCAAATAAACCTCCTCTTGAGGACTGAAACTGTATTTGTTTGTACTGTGATTCCAACAGTTATGGATTGAATAAAGAGAGAGACAGACATGGAGAGTGGACAACATAATTTGAGCACCTTACAAAATGCTGTGGTAAAAACAGTAAGAAAAATAAAAGATAAAGGAGCAGTCTCTGTCTTTAGAACAGCTCCAATCATTCTTTGAATGGTATCTTATTACAAGCCATGAACTGTTTGTAGTTCGATATTAAACTATTTATCCACAAGAAAAGATTCACATTGTGCACTCTGCACTCATCTCTTCAATGATGCTTAGATACAGTTGTTAGGGTGGAAATTGAAAAGGTGTTTGACTTATGTGATGGTCATGACTTCATCTTGGTGATACTTTGTTCAGCAGTGTTTAGGAGGTTTATTATCCTTTATAAATGAATAAGGTAGATTTGTTAAAAACTATGGGTGCATCCTATCCTGAAATTATCTCATATTTTGTGGCCATTAAATCAACATGCATTGGAATCAATTATAATCACTTCTCACTTAATCTGTGAATAAAATCAACATTTAGTGGCTGCCGTCAAACCATCAATTATTTTTTTTCTATCAATCATATCCAAATACCAATTAAAATGAACATGTTCAGCCTTGTTTAGCCTTTGATTGGCTATATGTTTGTTTGGTGTTTCAGAGATATGGAAATCATCAGCCAACAGGCATTAATTTGGACCACAATTCAGACGAAACCAAATGCAGAAGCCTATAAACCACAAAGTAGAAACATATACCCAATAAAGACACACATTTGTTAATCTTTTGTCATATTTTCCTCTTTTTAAGTATTCTATACTTTTCATACTTGCCCTATTAATGAATGTTTAGGGTCTATGCTAGCCACTGGAAGAGTATATTGTCTATCCTTAGTGCTAATTGCAATGTTGTCAGCAAAAAAGACTGATTTTATATACTTTAATGCCACTTTATCTCATGGGTGTCCATGCAACTTATTTTGGCATTGTGACATGCCAGGCTGTTACCCAGGCACCTAAGGATACAGCATCCAGGAACAAATTTGCAATTTATTAAGGACAATTTGGGACAAAAGTTTAGATTGGGAGGTTGCACGCCTTGGCCTATATCACCCCTGCTAGCAGGACTCTGTCTATACTTTCTCAAAACTAGAGCAGACAGTTAGTATTAATCTGTGTCTTGCTTTTGTAGTAGATAAACAATTAATCACCTTTTGGTTTAAATAGGAGGTAAATTCTCACTTAGGTCTCAGATAAATCGAAATAAACAGAGAGCTGTGGGCCCAGCTCTGGTTTGGATCGCTTCTGGGTCCGTGTAGGCGACCCACCCTTACTACAGGTGTATATCTTGTCAAGCAAGGAGTCTAAAATTGACTCAGTATCTGAGGGTTGTGCAGATTAGGGACTGCACTCCCATATGAGGAATGACGAATGTAGAACCAGGATGAAGAATGATAAAATAAAACAAGTGTATTAATACAATCTATGAAATAAAAAATGGCACAATGTCCACATAAAACCGGGACGCTTTTCGCCACTATAATGTGGCTTCTTCAACCGGATCAATGAGCTGCCTCATTGATACGGTTGAAGAAGCCACATTATAGTGGCGAAACGTGTCCCGGTTTTATGTGGACATTGTGCCATTTTTTATTTCCCAGAGCTGGGCCCACAGTTTATTTCGATTTATCTGAGACCTAATTGAGAATTTACCTCCTAGTTAAACCAAAAGGTGATTATTTGTTTATCCACTACAAAAGCGCTACATTCCTTTTTTTTTCTCTGTTTGTATATTTGGTTAGTGATATTGTAAGGAGTCACATGAATGTTTAGCTGCTCATTTGTATAAAAATATTCTACATACGTTGGTATATTATACAGTTAGAAACAAGCGCTAGTCCTTATCCACGTTTTGCATTAACATGTGCCTTGACCTGGTAGATCCACACTACGCCTTCAGCTTATTTCTTGCAAGTAAAACTACTTCCATAAAACATTGCATATAAATACCTCTGTGAACCTTTAGTACTTAATATTTCATGCGCCCACAGCGTGAATGACATTGTTACCACGGTAGATGAGACATTCCCAAATAGCCAGAATCACACTAATAACACACTAGAACCAGGAGCAAATGTTTTGAGCAGATTTAGCTTCTGTTGAAGTGTTTTCTTCAGCAGACATGTCTGAAAACATATAGTCCATATATGATCTGTGCACAAGTGGAACAGCTGCTGATCACCTAATGGAAATTTTAAAACATTCTTATTTTTTTAAAATATCTTCTGTGTGCAGTTGCCAGACATAACAGTTTGTATCAGTACAAAAATAATGAGTGCATTACATGAATACATGTAATTTGAAAACACACATTTAAACACACTTCTGCTCTATTCCTTTTCAATAACTCGAGATTAGTGAAAATGTTTAATGCAAGTTAATGCAAAACCACGATGAAGTATGGCACAAATCCTGGGCTCTATTAAAATGTATGGGGTACTTTGCAAAAGAGTTAACAATGTTTTTCTGTACCTCTCAATTCCTCTATCTTCCCCATCAATCAAAGTATATTTTAACAACGCATGTTTCTCTTAAATATACATTATTCTCTATTTATTTAATTATTGTCTCCAGTATGGAGATATAGGATTACACAATTGTCGTGTTATTGATGGGAAATTAAATTAAATTAAAGAGCAATAATATTAAATATGTAAGATGTAGGTAAATAAATTGTGACAAGAAGTCATCCATAGAACACTGGAAGTTACAGCAGAACACACTTTTTTTGTGTGTGCTTGGAAGGCAGTTGAAGAAAGACAGCTCGGATTGCTTCATCAAAGACCGTTTTTAGTCCTTTCTGTGTGAGAGCAGAGCACTCTACATATTTCACAGCTTCTGGGGACAGAATAAGATGAAAATTAGAGAAATTGTGTGAATATGCAATATAATTTTTACAGCCCGATTGTGTCTAACAATTAAAGGAACATTCTATACACCATAACCACTACAGTGAATTGTAGTGGTGCTCCTTCATTGTAAAATAGTAAAACCATTTAAGAATAGTTTGACTTCATACCTAGGATTCATTGGGGGCCACTTCCTATGTCCTCTCAGCAGCCAGGAGAACCGGAAGCTCCTGTTTTGAAACCTCTGATAGCAGCGCAAGGCTGGCTTTTCAGCAGAGAGTGTCAGCTGATCGCTCTCAGCCAAGGAGCTAAGCCCTACACTGCCAGGTGTAGCTCAGAGAGAGAGAGCTTCATGCGCTTCTGTAAATATTGTGGAGACAGGAGTGACATCTGGTGTAACCCAGGTAGGATGTCAAATCATTCTAAAACCATTTGAACACTTACAATGGGGGCACTAGGGCATTCTTTTTAGACAAAATAAAACAAAAAAAGTCAAAATTCCTATTCATTTCACAATATTTTAGAATTAGCACTTTGTGCTATACCAAAGGACTTTCTTTAGTTTAGGATAACAATTGAGTACACCTCCTAAAAATGTGGATTTAAAAACCTGGCAGTCCTAGGTAATGATGCATCAGAAAAGATATAGGAAAGAAAATTGGAGGCACTGCAATCTGCAATGTATTTGAAAACATCAGCAAACTTTTCCCATATTAACTATTATTGTATACCCTCCAGCTTTGACTTCCTTACTGCTAACATAGAGCTTCCCTTTTTCTAATTTCTGCCCATCTACCGATACTTCTAAAAGTAAATCTCTTAAAAAGTCAATTGTCACTTAAGATAAACAGAATCAACTCTTGGTTCTTGGACATCTTAACTTAAATTGGCTCTACCCTAACAACAAACAGAGAAATAAAATCAGAAACTCCCCAATGACACTCGCCCAGAATGGATCCTTCCATTTTGTCTTAGTAGAAATCTGGACCCATGTACATTAAAATATATATTTAATGGCCATTTTTTCATTATTGTGTTTGATCCAAATGTTACCATCACTCGATCAGTTAATATTAATCTAATCTTCATCCATTCTTAAATCATCTACTGATATTGGTGAACCTTTATCATTGATCTGAACCTGTCAATTGACTTTTCAATCTGAGTTCCTGCTGGTCTGTAATACCCACACCCCACCACTGAGTGTTAGACTCAGGGAGACCCATCTAATTGTGATTTTCAAAAAAGTCACATTGTACTGTACAATTATTGTGAAGCCTTGTGTTGAAAATCTTGGAAAACAACTCTCAGTATGACATAAATGTTTACAAGCAACTGTGTAATATCTTCATAGAAAAATCATACTGAGGCCAAATATGTAAAATACAAATTGAATGCACACTGATTTAGCTACAGAAGACACTTACACTATATGGGTTTTTTTTTTTGTAGATCATTTTGACACTTTTCCTAACAGTAGTGGATAGCTTGGAGAGCTTATTAAATTAAGACCTTTGTCAGTCTTATGAATACATATGCGTAGACAAGTATATTTCTCCATATGTGTGTGAGCCTTTGCAGCCTATGACTGCTCTTTGTTGTTTGTGAATGTAGTTTGTGAATGTGGTATGTGTGAGTGCAATATGCAGTGTGTGAATGTTGTGGGAAATATTGGAAGTGTATGGACACTTTCAGGTCTATGAATGCAATCTGCAATATGTTACTGTTGTGAATATGTTCCCTTAATGATTTCCCCTTGGTTAATTAATGTCATATTTTTCTCTTTCAGCCATTTCTCTACTACTCACCAATTTTCTTGGCTAGTGTCAACCCTTGTCGGAAAGAGATAGGGGACTTGTTTTCTTTTTTAAGCTTTTCAATGGTCTTCTTGTCATCACGAAGATCAAGTTTGGTTCCTACTAGAATAATAGGCGTATGAGGACAATGGGTTTTCACTTCTGGAAACCACTGAAAGAAAAGGGGAAAATGAGGCATGTCAAGAATGAAGACTCCAAGCACCATAACCACTACAGCATGCTGTGATGATTATGGTCTCAGGAGTGCACTGGCTCCTTCCCATTGTTAGTAGTTTAACCATTTGTTCTCAGCCAATAAGCTGTCCATGCAGTACAGGGTTTAAACTAATAGCTTCCTACTCTACTGAAGACTGTGAAGAATGTGACTGGAGAACACCAAGTAAGTTGTCAAACAATTTGCCAGTGCTTTTACTACTCACGCTGGGTTGGTGCCAGGGCACTCCTTGCACCATAACCACTATAGCACTCTGAAGTCGTTATGGTCTTGGAGTGTTCCTTTAAAACTTATACAATTTATTCATCTTCTTTTTCTCCCAATTTCCACCCATTTGAATACATTCTCATCATTCTGCAATTCACAACCCAGTCGTCCATGTCTGTCTCCTGTCTCTGTGTTTTTTCCAATCTAGTAAACCCACTTGGCTTCACTCTTTTTACCTCTAGTTTAGTTTTTCTTCTTGCTACATTCTCACTGTGTCTCTTTGCTTTATATCTCTTTCTCTCAGATGCTCTTCCTTTTCTCAGCCATTAACCTCAATTTTCTCATTCTCTATTTCAGGGAGTTTTTCCCATAATATCTCCCTATTTTGGAATTCAGCTTCAGAGATCTGACCTATTAATCCGTTTCCATTGATATTTTATGATAAGTGCTACTCAAACAGACCTGTTGTGCATACACTGAAATTTTGGAAAAACTGTATCCCCCATAGGAAAGCATTGATTTCATCTTATGGGGAAGATAGATGTGCGTGTGCTGCACGCGCATCTATATTCCCCATAGGATTAAATCAATACATTCATACGAGTGATACAGTTTTTCCAAAACTTCAATGTTTTACATTGTAAATATGTTTTTAATGAGATGTGTTAAGTTACATCACTTATTTCTGACCATTGTTAAATTGGTTCCAGCCGTTATACATAACTCAACCAAGTATTTTTGCAAAGTCTTTGACCTACAGCTATTGGTACCCTCGTGCCTTCCTAATATCTGCAAGGTGTTCCACAATAGCAGGCTTCCCCAAACTCTGGCCCTCCAGATGTTGCTGAACTACAACTCCCATGATTCTCAGCCTATTTCATTCATAGAGTCATAGGAGTTGTAGATCAGCAACATCTGGAGGGCCGGAGTTTGGGGAAGCCTGCACTATAGGCTGTATTAGTTACATGTGCTTTCTAGTAACCTTACCCCCTTTTTAAATGTATCTTTATTTCTCTCTTTTCCTGATTGCTCTTTCTATGCCTCTCTTCATCCTTTCTCCTCCTTGCACAACTCCCTAGACCACCATATCTACCTATATTCAGGCTCTTTGCCTCCCTTGCTTTGTTCTTTTCACATTACCTTAGCAATGATATGCTGACATAGCTGAGCAGATTGTCTAGATTACTCACTGCAGGTTAAATCTCACTTGATCCTCAACATCACAGACCCATTCTTCCACATTTCTATTATATCTTGCAGGCTTATTCAATCAATTGAGAATTCAAAGTAAATTGCAAATGTAACTTCAAAATAGCCAAACTAGACTTTTTAAAACTAATTTGTCAGTCGTGTTTTTTTTTGTTTTTTTTTTTTGCTTCTCTAGCCTTAAATGTAAAATTCACTTTGAGTAAATGGAATTCTCACTTAAGTAAATTACCCTGGAAGTGATTGCTCTTTTAGTTTGTACTTTGTACCATGTATGGTTTATATGATCCTGTTATCTATTTCCTTTGTCCTTTAGGAGAATTTAAAATTTAGATAAAGAATTATATAAAAAAAAATACAACCCCCTCTCCCCCCAAAGAAACATATTACCACTGTTTCCCATATGAAATATTCAGTGAAACTGACATGATCAGAATTAACCATAAAGTACTGTATAAATTAAATTAAATAAAAGACATGCTACTCACAACAGCATCTGATTGATTGTATTAAGACAGCTACCCTAAAACTATTTTTAATCATAAGGCAGAATACATTATGATTTAAATTTTTATTTAAATTCAAGGCTTTTCTTTACACACTGAATATGCTAAACTGACAAGATGTAGAAGTGATCGAATACTAGCCAGTAATAGGCTAAGGCAATGTAAACCGTACGGAAAGAATATTTGGTAGAAAGAGCAAACATTTTAATACATAATAATACTCATAATTACTGACCTTTTCTTGAACATTTTCATATGAAGCTGGATATACCAACGAAAAACAGATTAAGAAAACATCCTAAAAAATAATTTTAAAATGTTAGCTGTCATGAGTCTCCCTTCGTGAAAGTTTATTGCACCTTAATTTAAACGGAAACAAGAATGTATTTTTTACAAAGTACAGAAAGTAGAGTTTTATGATACTGAAATTGCACTGTGTTCAAAAGAGCACAAAGAGAAATATTATCAAAATGTTCTGTCCTAAAAAGGGATCTAAACTACTAAAGGTGGGGCAATCACAAAGGAAACAAGTGGAAACATTTTTCACCACTTTTTACAAAAGAACACTTTAATAAATCTCCACCAATGTCTTTACGGTGGTTTTAACATTTTAACTAAGGTCAAAGTTAAGTTGTGTGTATATGTGTGGTGGGGGTGTGGGGCTATGGAAAGCTTAGCAGTAGAGGTTTTAGGGAATGGGGGAGGGAGTGTTCAGAATGAGGTATTTTAAGATTACTATTGGGGTTTGGATTAAAAGGGAATTAAGGTTAAAGGATCACTATAGTGTCAGGAAAACAAACCTGTTTTCATGACACTATGTCATCCTTGGGGGACCCTCACCCTCACCCTCCTATTCAGCCACTTACCTTATTCCAGCGCCGGGCTCCCTCGGCGCTGGTGACCTCTCCTCCGCCGCTGAAGTCAGCTCCCTCTGCCGACGTCAGCTCCCTCTGCTGACGTCAGCGGATCCAATGCTTTCCTATGGACGCTCTGCGCGATGGAGGCATAATATGCCTGCAGCGTCACAGATGCGCCTCTAGTGGCTGTCCGGAAGACAGCCACTAAAGGCTGGCTTGACCATGCAATGTAAACTGCTGTGTTTGCATCTGCAGGGTTAAAACTTGAGGGACATTGCACCCAGACCACTTCATTGAGCTGAAGTGGTCTGGGTGACTATAGTGTCCCTTTAAGGTTTTCTGTCTCCAAGTTGCTGTGGATTTCCATGGATCTCAGACAGATATTATATACAGAGAAATAATGTTGCTGCTCTATTTATCGTGAGGTGACATTATAACATTAAAGCATAGAAGGGGTGTAGTGTGGGAAATTGGCTAGAGAAATTGGGGTGGGGTTTTGGCTATAGGAATATAAATTGTGGCCATTTTAGATCAGGGACCATCTTAATTTAATCCTCACTTACCTGTTGTTGTCCCACCTTCCCTCCCTTTTTGTTTTTAACTCCCGTTTGGTCAGGGCGGTGGGGGATAAATAGACAAGTTAGAGTGTAGGTCGTTTGTCCAGATGTAAGATGTTAGTTAAGGTATTGGTAGGTTTGAGCTTGTTGGTAGCTCTGAACCTGGTGTGTATACCCCTACATGGTGACCCATGCAAAATCACGCCCTCAGTGCCAATGATTTATGTTTTATATGTTATAAAGTGGTATCAATTATTGTTGATGTGGGTCATTGTCTGGGGTAGAATTGTTAAAGGATTTGAGGTTAATATGTAAGGTTTAAGTATGTTGGCAATAACCTTGAAAATGTATTTTCCATTAATAAAGTTGTGATAATTTTCCCAAAATAAGGTTTCGGAGTATCCTTGGGAGGTTTTTGGGTTTGGTAAAGCATATGCCAAGAAGGTGACAATGCATATGTCTTGGATCATGCTGGAGACTTCCAGCTTACTTATCAGTCACCCATGACCCATCACTGACCCATGGAAAAATGCATATATTATATAACTGCAATACTGTGACCATTCAGTGCTCATTGTTTTTGCTGAACCTACAGTGTGTGGGTATGCAAGTGGCCTCAGTCTGTCATATTCTTCTTGCCCAACTGTATCCCATAATGCCAAATTCACAGTTTTTCTTTCTACCACCACAGTACAACTGAAAAAATAAAATAAAATAAATAAAATTAATTCAGTATGACATGAAAATTTAGATAGTAAACAGTAAAAAAAAAAAAAAAACCTTTTTTTTTTAATGTAATATATTATGCTAAATATACTCATTATCAGTGGCGTACACACAAACCATGGGGCCCCGGTGCGAAAATGCTCCGTGGGCCCCTCCCCCTCCTTATTACCCCCCCGGACAGATACACACACACACACACACATACATAGAGACACATACACACAGACACATACATACAAACAGAAAGGCACACATATATACATACAGACAGACACACACAGACACATACATACAGACCGACACACAGACAGGCACACAGACACATACATACAAACAGACAGGCACACATTGTCACATCATGTCATGTTCTGCGGAGATGTCTGGCCTTGGCTTCTGGTATCCAGTACTCTTTTTACAATCCTTGCTTAGTTTTTCTTGGTTTTTCTGTTTTTCTATTCCATGTCTGGTTTTCCTTTTGCTGTGTTTTTCTGGGTTCATTCCTGTAATCCGTCCCTGGAATTCCCAGTCCCCTGGATTCATTTATATGTTTGTTTTATGTTGCCACACCTGTTTGTTTTCCATTTTCCTTTTGTTTCAGTCTGGAGCAGTGTTTCAAGTCTCTGCCCTTTCTTGCAGGTAAGTGCTATTGTGGTTTAGTATTGTTCTTTTAGCGAACATTAGACAGTGTAGGACCTGCCGAATATGGGGTACATTGGCGTTGTGGCAGGCTTATGCAATGTATGATCATATAATGTAACTAAATCCCCATACTTTTCATATATGTCTCCTCTTGTTTTGCCTCATGTCTTGTTTTAGTTTGTATTCCCAGTCCATGTACAGTCCTGTCCTGTCCTGCCCCTGTTTAGGTAATGTTCCCTTATGTATTGTGTACATGTTCTGGGTTTAGCTTTCTGTCCTGCTCTGGTTCTGGGTTCTATTAGTTCTGTCTTGTTTTCATGTTTGGTGACTATTCTAGCCTTGCCTTGTTTCTGTACTGGATACATGTCTAATGCAGAGCCCCCCTATCCAGGTCCTGGGAGGTCTGCATATCAAGCTCCTAGTTCCTGGGATCCGCTGTAGCTGCATCAGGGTTCTGGTATGTGGCCGCGCAAATGCTGGTGCTCAACACCAGAGGTCGTGTGGTTACCCTGCACAAGGCCCTGATAGTCCATTACCACCCTGAAGACTCCCACTTCTCACCAGGCACTCAGGGGTCCCGGTTTCCGTACCGCCACCCGTGACACACATACAGGCACACAGACAAATACATACAGACAGGCACACAGACAAATACATACAGACATACAAACAGACAGGCACACAGACAAATACATACAGACAGGCACACAGACAAATACATACAGACATACAAACAGACAGGCACACAGACAGACATACACACATACAGACAGACACACACACAAGATGCACATACATACAAACAGACAAGCATACACATACATACATCCATACATATATACAGACACACATACATACAAACACACACAAAATGTTTGTCACCCTCCTGTTTCCTACCTTTAAGGTGCAGGAGGGTGACTTTCCCTGGGGTCCAGTGGTGGCTCAGGTGGATGAGAGTCAGAGTTCCCACTCTGACTCCCTCTGCTTCCTCCCGCATGGCTCTCAGTGTTATCTGGGAGGAGTGACGTGCGGTCACTTCCTCCCAGCTTGTGATGTCATTACAGGGGGCCCCCTGACAATCCACATCCATCGGGTGGCACTGACAGCATGGGCCACCCGATGGACCCCTTGGACAGCGGCCCCGGTGGCTTGTCGCATGGGCCGGGTCCACAGAAGATGATGGTGGCGGATACCCGGTCACAGGGGTCCGCAGGGCGGCCGGGCCCCCTGGAGTGGCGGACCCCTGCGACCGCTGTATGTACGTCACTGCTCATTATCATATAAAATTACACTACATGACCCGATTACGTTATGAGTTATTTTTAATTCATAAAACAAGACATGGGACTTTCACAGGTGAGATTCATAGACAAACTAATTAAATGTTAGCTATAGGATGTGCTATTTTTGTTTTCTGAAATGTTTAACATGTTTTATTATTTGATTTATATGGCCTGTCTGGCTGTCTTGGCTGTCTTGATGTGAACGCATACTTTACTAGGAATGCATTAACACAATTATTATCGTACATGAATGCAGCATAAGATGGGGAGACAAAGTTGCTCTAAACGTAGAAGTGCAGCAGAAGTCAGACTCAGTAGGTTGGTTTATTTATTATTTTTTTTACTTACAACCACTATAAAATTAGCTGTAGTAAGAGCTTGAATTGTGTTGGTTTTGGTGAGGGAACAAGAAATGTTGGCTTCCAGAGAAGTGACAGTTCCACCTAAATGCTCCCACCAAGTTTAAACAAATGTGTACAATGGCATACTGAATATTAGCTCAATGAATACATACAAAATCCACCAATAATACACTTTAAAATATACTCACAGAGTTGGGATATATTCCCTGGGGAAAGCATTGCGTTCATAACTTATCACGAGACATGTCTTTCCGACATTTCTGTAAGAGACAATGGCAGTAGTATTATTTTAATTAAGGCTCATAATGACATGACATGCGTCCTTTTGTGCATATGTCCTAAACAATCACATTTGAATCCCCCAAAAAGACACGGACACCAATTTAAAGTGGATAAAATGTCACAGCTTTAATAAATTATATTTATATATATATATATATATATATATATATATATGTATATGTATGTATAATATAAAAACCAAAATGGGTCATTGCCAAACATTCCCAATTTTCAGGATCCCTAGCATGAAGCCAATGGAACCGGGGCACCATCTCCGACCAAATTAAAATTACCCCTGGCACTTTTGCCCTCAACTTATCTATATCCCGCTTCATACAGTGCACTAGTTCCCTTTAGGGTACCCGACCCAAATCATTACCCCCTGCATGTAGCAACAGAAAATCCGGTGACTGCCCTGAACCTAAACGCCTAAAAATCTCTGCGCAGACGTCCCTCCATCCAAAACCCCTATTGCCAAACCACAATAATTGGACCAAGCACTGTGGAAAGCACAGCTGATGTCTAACTGCGGCTCTCTTGTGCGCCCAATGAATGAATGAGTGGCCCACCAACCAGGTGACCCAACCTACGAAAGAAAGGAAACATGTTACCAACACGGAACAACCACATTGTATTTTTTGTATTGTTTATTAATTGTAATTATTTACTTCAAATGGTCTAATCTCACATATGACCAGAACCTCACAGACTCCCAATGTCCAATCTGTCCTACCAATTCATCCTCTATGCCCAACTGTGCTGCTTCCTTTGCAGCCCCAATCCTAAAGGAATGCGTGCCAAACTGTAATGGATCCAACCCCAAATGGCCTAGGCCAAAACAAAAGACCCGTAAAAAACTGGTATTTCGATAAAGATGACCCATCATCATGTATCAGAAAAGAACCCTGAATCCTAGGCTGAGCTTGTAAATAGGCGGACACACTGTCGATCCTTGTAATAAATAAAAAGTAACCATGCACCCCTTACCGAAAACATCTGTTTTCAACCACCGCAGATTGATGACAATGCGATCATGCTTCAACTCAACATCCTCCAATTTAATGCCCCCCCCACCAGCACGACTACCATTCACCAACTCACTTACCCGAAATGCCCCAAAGAACACCAAAACAAATGCAAGCGTAAATAACAGCACTTCATGGTGGGAGAAACAGAGACCAGGAAGCACCTCTAGCAAATTTTGCAGAATTTCAATCGACACCGGCCTCCTGGTATCCGGTGTTCTCCGACCTCTCCGAAAACCCTTTAAAGCTTGACAAACTAAAAAATAATTTGTGATATCTTCCCACCCATTCAGCTTGAACAAATGCTAGGGCTGACATATGCCTGTTGACCACAGAAGCAGAAGCCCTGTTAGAAACCAATCTGCACAAATAGCACAACAGCGTATCCGACCGTATCTCCACGGAGTGTTGTCCACCTGCACATACACACACTTAATCCCAAGCCCTCCAAACCTTAACATACGCCGTCCAAATACTTGGAGCCAATGATTCCTTGATCAGACGTCCAAGAAGATAACTTTCTTATCCCTCAACATGGGTCTCCATAAAGCCAACGCAACTACTAAGGGAAAAAGTCTCAAGAATGCCAGAATACGAATGATGGGATTCGATTTCCAATCCTGAGGCCACGGTTCCGCACACCATTGACCCACAAAATATGCCCTAAAACCCACACTCCTCGAAGCATCCATAAAGAGTTCCAACTCCTGAGAATGGCCCGGTAAATTCCGAAAAAAGACCCGGCCATTAAATTCCCGAAGAAACATATCCCAAACTACTAAATCCTCCTTCATTGACACAGTAACTCTAATAAAATGATGAGGAGAACTAATCCCTCCCGACACCTTTGCCAAAATCCTTTTAAAAATTCTCCCCACCGGTACGATTCGGCAAGCAAAATTCAGACATCCGAGTAAGGATTGCAGTGTTCTTGGCGTCACTTTACGCGCTGCCCGAACTTCACCAAACGGCCTGGTGCACCAACTTATCCTCCGGCAAACAACATTCATCCGGCCAACAACATTCCCCTGCTACCGAATCAATTTCAAGACCCAAAAAACTGAGACACTAGGTCGGTCCCACCGTTTTGTCAGCCACCAAAGGGACTCCAAATACATGGTCAACCCAAACCAGTGTCAACCCTATGCGACAGACATCCGAACCGGCGGGACCGACACAAAGGAAATCATCCAGATAATGAACCATGAACATGCTACCTGTTTCTACTTTGACCACTCATTCCAGGAAAGTACTACATTTTTTCAAAATCAGCTCATGAGATGGAGCATCCCATGGGCAAACAAAGGTCAACAAAGTAATTACCCTCAAAGTAACAGCCAAGAAGATGGCGACACTCGGGATGAATTGGTAACAGGCGAAAAGCTGATTCCACGTCAGCTTTAGTCATTAACGCCCCACGCCCTGCATGCCTAACCAACTCGACAGCATTGTCAAATGATGTATAAAACACCGAGCATAAGTCCACGTCAATGTCGTCATTAACTTACGACACTTTCGGGTATGAAAGATGATTTATAAGACGGTACTTCCCTGGCTCCTCCTTTGGCACAACTCCTAAAGGAGAAACACGAAGTTCAGGCATAGAGGGGTCATCGAAGGGTCCTGCAATCCTTCCCAATTGGACCTCCTTAATTAATTTAACCCTTACCACCTTTGGAAATTCCGCAACCGATTTTAGATTATGGAACTGGCGCTCCAGACTCAGATCCTGAAAAGGAATGACGAATCCGTGCGTAAAGCCATCCAGCAGTAGCGCCGCATCTGCCTAGTTAACATAGAGGTTTAGCCACGGCAGCATTGCGCCGACCCTCACCGGTGTTGATCCCAGTGGAAGTAGATGGGGCAGACATAAACCTTTCTTGTGCAAGGTTGACGAGGTGGAGGTTGAACCCGCGCCGGCCCCAGACTGAAAGAGTTTTTGCACAATCATGAGCTTGATCCATAAAGCCAGGTCCATTTGGTCCCACCGCATGCCAGGGTTAGCAGAGAGACGCTGATGAAACTGCTCATCGTAGCGCCACCAAGCTAAACCTCCATACGTCCTATATGCCTCCCATATGCCATCCAAATAACAAAAAAGTTGAGAGCACCTCTCCGGATATTTTTCACCTAGCACACTGGCTAAAATGCAGAATGCCCACAACCAATTACCAGAAGACTTTGGTAACTTGCGATACTTCCGCCTTTTCAATTCCTCCTCCTTCTTTGCGTCTTTTTTATCCTCTTCCTTTAAATTGATGTATTCCTCCAATGGGAAAAGTGCATAGATTTCCAGGAACTCACCTTTCCAGATTTTTTCCTTTAATTCCAGGTTTTAAATGACAACCGGGGCGGCCCGGCAAAAGATACGTGTACATTTTGCCGCGCAGCATCCGGGACGCTACCTGCCAGTTCGACGCGTTCATCACCAACGTCTGTACACACCAGCGTCGATGCCCCAGCCATGACTTCTGAACCTCCCACTACTAACTGTGACAACCGCGGAGCCCCTGCACCTGAACCCCTGGAACTTGGCTGCCAGACTTGCCCAAAACTACCTGGCTGATTCTGCCCTGTACTCCAATTCTCCAGAAAGGTCTTAAGACCTTCTAATAGATCACCATAACGATGAGCAGAAGAAGACTCACCAGCTGAACCCTTTGCCGGGAACGTCTGTGGAGCTGCAGCCGTATCTCCACTGTCCAAGGACCCAGGAGTTAACGCCAACATTCTGGGACCCGTGTCCTGGACCCGGGCCCGGTCCGTGGAAGGATGCACCAACGATCTGTAAGGAGATGAAGACATGGATAGGGCGTCTATCCGGCTCTTGACCTGCCCACCTTCCCACTGAGTACCCCTACTCAAGATATCCGAATTTCATCTGACGTCTTGGCCCTTGCGGCCGTCATAGATCGCTAATTTGCCGGCTAGCCTCCTGTCAGGGAAGCTCCCGCTAACGGACCTGGAATCACTCCTCTTTCGAACAACAAATTAGCTGACTGGGACAGCCGTGCTCCCCCTAACCGCTCCCTTGAGGAACACCTGTCACTGCTGCACGTCTGCTTGCAGACCTGTACTGCGAACTCCAGTCACTTCTAGCTCTGCAAAAGCAAAGAAAAGGCTGCACCAAAAAGGGTAGATAAAACAAGTAATTTAGGTACAAATAAAATAGTAGTAAAATGTTCTATAAAAGAGTCCCAATAATAGATGGTGTCTCAACTGATGTGGTGTCTTCTTTGGTAATAGTCGTCCGTCTCACGATATGAAAGACACAATGGGAAAGAGCCAATCGTGCAGAGTGTATAAATAAGTAATCGTGAAATTAAAATATAAATTACACACTCACATTTCCATGAGCTAGGACCAGCTCTAGTATGATGGGCATACAGCGGATGACCCTCCGCTTGTGGGGTACTTGTCCTCCTGGAGAGTGCTGGTGTCCAATACTCAGGAAAAGAAATAAAAACAGCCAGTTAGTGCTCTATGGTGAGGTAGTTAGCAAGAAAGATTTAAAATAAAATAAAATATACTCACAAGTAGAGTGCAGGTCTTTCTGCACTCTATTATTCGCATGGGTGGTATGATCCCCACCTGGCACATAAGGAGTATATATAGCTTATACATACATTCAAAATTGGCGCTTGGGGTCGCAAGAATCTTTCTGGCACATAAGCATGGCCAAAATTCATTTGTTTGAATCCCTTCTGTTCGAATTTTTTTTTTTTATATGATTTATGTACAAATATCCACATAGATTTTCCTTGTAACTTCTGTGGATAAATCATTTGAAAAGCTTTTTTTCTAACAGGATTGAATAATTTCTGATCCTAAGTTAAACAAATTAAATTGAGGTCTATGTTCTTTATTACAAAATTAGGCCGCAAATGATAAAGGCAGGCACCTGGTTGCATGGGTCTGCAGGGCAGCTGGGCCCCCTGGAGTGACGGGCCCGGTCGCAGCAGCGACCCCTCCGACCGTGGTATGTATGCCAGTGACTTTCACTACACTATGAAAAAAATACACCTAACTGAACCTGGATAACTGTACATATCTATTGTATTTACAACTGCTATAGTTAAAAAAGAGCATACAGCACAACTAAAAGGTAATCACGTAATGTCTGTTTCAACATGATAACTAAAGAAAAGAGTCACAAGCCACTAAAAACGCCTTCAAATGTGCTGTTCAAAATTTAGACTTTCACAACTGCAGCTTCTGTAACCTGACACCATGAGGAAGAAACGGGTGCTTTTTCCTTTTCCCAGACAGTAATCAATATTGAATCACATTAT